GGGTGTTGCCATCACCTTCCTGGTCGGGATGTCACAGGCACCTCCCCATTGGAAGGTAGCTCCAAAGCCTCTCCTGGCTGGAAGCTTCATTTCTGACCTCATTCCTCACCAGTTCTAACTTGTCTGATTGTAACAATCCACCTGGTAGCCCTGAGGGATAAAAACCAGCTTTTACTCCCCAGGGTTGTGGTTTACCAAGATGAGAGTTGACAGGGTTTAAAGGATTTAAAGGATGTTATGGAAAAGAACCCTTTTCTCTCACGCGTTTGCTACCGGGGGGGGATAAGGAACACTTGTTTTGTCCATCTTACAACCAGGGCTCGGTAAGCCCTGTGCTCTCCCCTGCTCCATCACCTCGTTTCTGTTCTCTGCTTCAGGTTATTGCTGCTCAACCAGTTCCATGATGTTTTGCCAGGCAGCTGTATCCAGCTTGTGGTGGAGGATGCTCTGCAGTACTACGCAGGTGAGCCACGAGGGCACAGGGAGGTTGCAGTCCTGGGCTGCTTGGTGCTACAGGCTGTGTCTGGAGCAGCGCTGACTCAACAGGGAATTAACAGGGGAGCTGTGGGATTAAAAACCATCCCAATGTACGGACTTCTCTGCTTGCTGCTGGCCAGGATAGAGCCCAGCAAAGATTTGCTCCTGGCTGCCCACAGGCACTTGCAGTGGCTTCACTTTTATTACAGCACCACATAGGTCTTTGGTATTATCTTGTAATAACAAAGTTAGGAGTGATCTGAAGCTTTAATTACTTACTAATAGATAGTGATAATGAATGCTCAGTAGGAATTGTAGCTGAAATGTGTGTGCATTGCATGGGAGGGCCCTGGGATGTGAGGATCCAGCTGGGGCCTCTTTGTTGCTCAGAGATCCGCAGGGCTGGTGCTGGGCTGCAGCAGGAAGCTGTGCAGTCCTTGTGCAGGGAACTGCTGGAGCCTGAAGCTGGGAATGCCGGGAGCACCCTCGTGCTGAACACTCTGCCCTGGGAACGGACCGAGGTGGTCGCCAAGGCTGGGCCAGCCGGAACAGAGACACTGGGTATGTGCTGGGGAGGGTTTACTGACCTGTCACAGTGCTCCTTGGGGCTTCAGGTTGTCCCTGACCTATGGATGAAGAGGAGGAGGGTACACAAGAAGGTCTGATGTGAGAGCAACAGGGCAGCGCAGTGGGACTGGGGCAGATGTTGGAACAGAACCTCTTTGCTTTCCAGCTCTGGTGACAGTCCCCAGCATGGGCTATGCTGTAGTGAGGGAGCCATTGCTGCCCCCTCAGCCTGTGGTAGTGAGGAAACGGGTAAGCACAGCCTCAGATCCAGGTGCCCTGCATCAGGGGTTGACTGGAGAGAAATCCAGGGAATGCAGCCAGCCCGCACCCTGGGTTTGCAACTGGGGCTCCCAGTTCCTGCAGCTGTGGGTCTGGGAAATCAGTTTCTGTCCTTTCCCCCAAGGAGGACGGGTCCATTGCCATGGAGAATGGGGTGATTGCAGCCTGCCTGGACGTGATGGGGCGCCTGACCTCCCTTCGGCTGCTGGACTCCCAGAGGTACATCTGTCACCCAGTTACTGGAACTGGGCTCCTCAAACCTCTCTCAGGTTGTGTTCTCGCTGTGCACCCTCTCCACTTCCAGTTCTTACGCTGCTCCCCTCCACTTTGTTCCAGAGAGTCAGTCCCAGATGGCTGCTGTGCCAACCAGTTTGCCCTCTTTGATGACGTCCCCCTGTACTGGGATGCCTGGGATGTGATGGATTATCACTTGGAAACCAGGTAGAGGAGCAGCGCATGCAGCACATGGGGTTTGACTTTGCTCTGAGGTTCATGTCTCCCTGTCAGTCCTAGCTGCACCTAAAGCTGTAACAGAGCATTCACTCTGCAGAAGTGAGTGCTTGCTGCATGGGGGTTGGATTGGGATTTGGGAGCCTGGGTCTACCACCTCTGCGTTCATCCCTTGCTCTAGGAAGCCGGTGACAACGCTGCTGAAGCCTCTGGAGGTCACCCTGGCCGGGGGCCTGCGGGGAAGTGTCAGCTTCTCTCTGCAGATAGGGAAAAGCAGCACCTTGACCCAGGAGATCATCTTGGATGCTACGTGTCCCTACCTCCGCTTCCTGACCCAGGTCTGCCCAGTGGGTGACAAACATTGCACTGTGCAGGCAGGGCCCTGAGAGCTGAGCCTTGCGTCTCAGTCACATTCCCCCTCCTGTTTCCTTCCCTGCAGCCCCCTCCTGCTTTAGGGGAAGGCACCCTGAGGGTGGGGGTCCCCGTGGGAAGAACCCACCAGTTCATCTGTGTTCAGAGTCCAGTGGGGTTTTATTGCTCCTGGGTGCGAGCTGGCTGCTGCGCACCGGGGAAGGACAGGAGCATCCTCTGCCCGTCAGCCCCTGTGGTGATGCCCTTCTGCTGTGCACGCAGGTTGAATGGAAGGAGGCTCACAAGTTCCTGAAGGTGGAGTTCCCTGTGCAGGTCCGGAGCCCAAACGCCACCTACGAGATCCAGTTTGGGCACCTGCAGCGGCCGACGCACTGGAACACATCCTGGGACTGGGCTCGATTCGAGGTGGGAGGAAAGGAGGGGGCTGCTCTTGCTCCCAGGAGGTAGCTCAGTGGGTAACATACCCCTTGGCACCTCCTGCAGGTGTGGGCTCACAAGTGGCTGGATCTCTCCGAGCACGGCTTCGGGGTGGCTCTGCTGAACGGCTGCAAGTACGGGGCATCGGCCCACGGCAACGTCCTCAGCCTCTCGCTGTGAGTCAGGGCAGAGCTGCAGCAGCCACTCTGCCTTTGAGCTGTCTCTGGGGTCAGGGCAATGCCTGGTCCTAAATGATCACAGTCAGTAAGGGAATAGTCTGGTATTGTCAGAGTGGCAGCTGCCATCTGAGAGCTTTTGGCTGACTTAGTTACACAGAGATGCTGTAATTCCTCTGAGTTATGCTCATAAATAAGTCAGGAGGGATCAGATCCACAACTGCACCAAGTAATATTTCTGTTGCTGTCATACCCTGGGAGGGGAGGCTCAAGGTGAAGCAGGAACGGTTACAGGAACATTACAGTGCATACAAAGCTAAGACAAACTCTGCACATTCCAGTTTCACTCCCTCAGCCACAGGTTTCACTGGAAAACACCCTTCAAATCCTTTAGTTCTGGGGCTGCCCAGGGTCTGTTTGCTAGTGCCAGGAACAGCATGTCAGCTTCCACCTCAGGGCCCAGCCTCGAGGTACCAGGGGAGGCAGTTGTCTTGCTGCAGTGCTCCCGTGGCTCTGCCCTGTGTGTCACAGCCACCAGCGTCACCTTCTTGTCTTAGGCTGAGAGCACCCAAGTCCCCCGATGCCACAGCAGACATGGGCCACCACCAGTTCACCTACGCCGTGATGCCTCACCTGGGTGAGTGATGGGATGCGCAGTGCTCCCGTGAGCCTGCGCGTGTCTAGAGGCTGGAGAGGGGTTCTTGCACCGCAGGTTCCTTCCAGGATGCCGGTGTGATCCAGCGCGCCTACAGCTTGAACTTCCCCCTGCACACGCTGCCGGCCCGCTCTGCCCCGTGCCCACCCTACAGTGCCTTTTCTGTCAGCTCCCCTGCGGTGGTGCTGGAGACCGTCAAGCAGGCAGGTCCCTGGGGCAGGCATGGGGCGGGCAGAGGGGTTCAGCTCTTGGTGAGGAGCGTGGCTTGCTCATCCCTGCCTGGCAGCGCCAGGTGATGGGGAGCAGTGTTCGCACGTCCTGCGAGGGCAAGATGGGGTTAGCGCATGGCTAACAGAGCTCCCTTCTGTCCCCCAAGGCTGAGGACAGGCCCGGAGCTGTGCTGGTCCGCCTGTACGAGGCACATGGCAGCACAGTCGTGGCCTGGCTGCAGACCTCGCTGCCCGTTGAGGAGGCGATGCTGTAAGTCCACACTGGGGGGCATGGGTGGGGATGGGGAGCGGTGGCTTCAGCCTCACCCCCTGCTCTTTCCCCAGCTGTGACCTCCTGGAGCGGCCGGTGGCAGCGGAACGCCTGCAGCTGGAGCCGCGGGGCCTGAGGCTCTCCTTCACCCCCTTCCGTGTGCTCTCCCTCCTCTTGGTCTTGAGGCAGTGAGGGACAGCATCCATCACCCTTGTGGCAACCTGGGCCAACACCGGGAGCTCAGATCCCAGCCTGAGGCTCCTCTGAGCCCAAGGAGGTGGCAGCAGCAGATTCCTACCCTCGCTGCCCACACCCAGCCTCAAGAACAGCTCTGGTCTTCAGCCCAGGACACTCGTCCCGTGCCAGCTCCCTGCCAGCTGCAGTGTGGGTAAGGTGGTATGACAGGCTGGCTGGCCCCGCACCAGCACTGCTCCAACCCCGGTGGGGCTGGGGAGAAGCAGCTTTCCAGTGTCTCAGCCTTCCTCTTGTAGCAAGCACAAAGACACATTTGAGTCATTCCTCTCTGCCTTCACCTGCCCCTTGCGCTGCCCTTGCAGAAGGGGAGCACAGATACATGAATTACATGAACGCAAGCTCCAGCCTGTTTTCTGACCTCACTTCCAGCTCACTGCTCTGATCTGCCTCCTCCCTGCTGTAGCTGCTGCTCTTAAGTGCCCTCCTCAGCAGCATCTCACTCCTGGGACCAGGGAGGCAGAGCTTACCTTTATTGCTGGAGGGATGAGGTGGAGGGGAAGCCACCCGCAGCCCATGTGGGAAGAGGTTGGGCCCAGAGGGGGTATCCTTATCACAAGAAGGCAGGCACAGGGATTTCTATACAAAATACTTTATTAGTCAGCTAAAAACAGTGATAAAGGGATGTGAGGAAGGAAAAGGCAATCCACTCTTAGGCAAAGGGAAGGACCAGTGGCCAGCATGACAGTTCCATAGCCCTTATCCCCCTCAGATACCTGAGGGCAGCAGGAGGATGCTGAATAAACCAGCACCAAGCTCAGCTCCTCCGTCCTGCCACGCAGCAGTAGCAAGCAGGGGTGAGCACAGGAACGGAGCAGCCCCAGCACTGAGCTCCCTCCTCAGCACTAACCCAGGCCCTAACCCGAGCTGCTCCTGGGGACGGGGCAGCACTCACACTGCAGGGGCTGTGCCTGGGAGGGGAAGAGGGAAAGGAGCAGTCAGCGGGTGAGGGGTGCCCCGACGCTGCGCTGGAGCCGCACGGAACCAGCCTCACCTCTGCCCCTGCGCGCTGGGCTCCGGAGCCGCCTTCCAGCCTTGACCTCGGGCTCGGGCAGGGCCCCGGCAGTGGCCGCGCTCCTCCTCCTGCGAGCGCGTCCCTTCCCCGGCCCAGCCCCGGCCTCCTCGGCTGGCACCGGGGGGTTCACTGCGGCCCTGCGGCGCCGTCGTGAGGCACGGGGGGGGACCTGCAGGGACCCCAGGGCTGGAGCTTAGCAACAGGACCGGGCTTGGGCAGGAGGATGCTGAGGAACGGCAGGGAGGAGAGAGCTCCCCTGGGAGAGCAGGAGGAGGGGGAGCAGGGCACAGGGAACAGGACAGCACAAGCGTCTTACCTTGGGGGTCACAGCCTCGGGGTCTGACTCCACCTGAGCGTGCTTCTTGCGGGGCGCCTGCCCTGTGTGGGAAGATGGGACCAGGTTGGGTGTGTGAGGAGATGGGGCAGTGACTGCACCGTGAGGGACCGGCCTGGCAGGCAGGGATGGGGGCGAAGGTGCAGGCATGGAAAACTATCCTGGAGCAGCTCTGCTCTGGAGCCAGGCTGAGAGAGCTGGGCTGGGGCAGCCTGGAGAAGAGAAGGCTCCTGAAGGGGAGACCTTAGAGCAGCTCCAGTGCCTAAAGGGGCTGCAGGAAACCTGGAGAGGGGCTTGGGACAAGGGCCTGTAGGGACAGGCCAAGGGGAATGGCTTGAACCTGCCCGAGGGGAGACTGAGCTGAGCTCTTAGGCAGAAGCTCTTCCCTGTGAGGGTGCTGAGGCGCTGGCACAGGGTGCCCAGAGAAGCTGTGGCTGCCCCATCCCTGGCAGTGCTCAAGGCCAGGCTGGACACAGGGGCTTGGAGCAAGCTGCTCCAGTGGAAGGGGTCCCTGCCTGTGGCAGGGGTTGGAGCTGGATGAGCTTTAAGTCCAGTTCCAATCCAAACCAGTCTGGGATTCTATATCCTGCAGGTACAATGAATGCTGTGCCCAGGCAGGTTGGTGTGCTGGTAGGTAGGAAACCTTGATCCCAGTGCCAACAGCCACCATAAGCCTGTCAGCGCCCCAGAGAGAGGGCATTTGCATTTGCATTTGCCTTTGCCTTCCCAGCTTCCAGCCCTCCTGGGGCATGAGCAGGTCCCATGGGGAGGAGAGAGGCCACTCACCTTTGGGAGCCATGGGGCCAGGCTCTCCCTGCAAGGAAGGTGACAGAGCATTGACCAGGGTGCACCATTCTGCAGGGGGCAGAATCTGTGCCCCCTCTCCGTCCCACGGCCAAGGCAGTGATGTGGAAAGAGCCACGTTTCCCTGGGAGCAGGGAAGCTGGACCTGCCCTGTGCCCTGAGCTCTCTCATCAGCTCCTTCTGTGAGTCCCCACCTCAGCGGCTCACCCAGGCATAGGAGGGAGGGAACGGGGCTGCCAAACCATCAGAGCCCCCATCCCTGCCATCCCATCCGCTCCAGCCTGCCCACCATCCCTGGGGTCCTTGGCACCTCCATACCCAGCTACCTGGCCACAAAGGGAGGCCCCCAGTGACACAGTGTAATGCAAAGGGGGGGGTCTCAGGAAGCTGGTGGTCAGGGACACCCATCCCCAAGGCTCCTACCTGGAACCAGATGGTTCTGCCGTTGCGGTCGCGCAGGGAGCTCATGCCGGGCACCAGGTAACACTGCAGCCAGCTCTTGAATGCAGCGTAGTTATCCGAGTGATCCGGGTCAGAGAGGTGTTTCTCTGGGAAGGGAGAGGGGGACAGGACAGAGGTAGAGAGGAAGCAGTGACCATGCTGTTGGGTGCCCTCCCAAGCCTCCTGCTTGGGAATGGCAGGCGCAGGGCTCCTGTCCTCACGCCTCACCCGTCGCGATGACCTCCATGGGCACGCTGTGACACAGCTCCAGGAGATCCGGGTTCTCCCGCATCAGCTTCAGCTTCTTGCTCAGTGTCAGGGGGGGATTCTGCAGGGGGACAGAAGGGGAGCCAGATTCCCACCTCCTCTTGCCCTCACTCCCCACGTGCTCCATCACAGGCTTCAAACTGTGTATTAGGATGCTCCCCATGGCTACAAAGCTGTGGGAAGGCGTAGTCACACAGGAACACCAGCACTTTGTACAAGCATCACTCAGGTCTTGTTTGTTGTTCTCTGCCTCAGCAAACCAGCCACTTCCCTCCCCCCGAGGCCACCAGATCAGCCATGGGTCCACTGCAGCCTTCCCCAGGGGTTTGAAGCTTTAAAGTGTTTGTTTTCCCCTTCTCTTCCTCTTCACCCACCCCAAATAAACCCGGAGGCTTCCTGAGGGTGGCACCAGCACAGCTCAAGGGCATGTGCTGCTGTCACAGCTCATCAGCCCAGCCACGGATGAGCATGAGCCGGACACGTGAGGTTATGGGGCTGCTCTGCTGCACTGGAGGGGCAGATGTGCCCAGACAGGCGCTGTTCATGGCTAAGGAACAGCCTGAGGAGAAGGATCCCGTGCAGCAAGGGATGGAGTTGTGCAGGGAAAATGCCCATTGTTGGGATGGGAGAGGCTCTGAGCAGCAAATCGCCTCCCAACAGCAGTGTAAGCCGGGGGTGCGGAGGCCAAGGGATGATGTTCTGCCCCATTGGAGCAAGGAACCAAACATGAACTGAAACTGGCTCCTGTGCTGGAACAAGCCCGAAACAGCCAACCTGAGCCACGGCTTCACACCCAGCTAAGCCCAAAGCCAGGGCAGGGCAGGGCTGAGCCCAGGCTGGGGGCTGGCAGCAAACTGAGCCACCTCCACTGCTGCTGAGCGCAAACCCCAATGGGGAACGTTCCTCAGCTCAGCCCAGCTTGCCCACAGAAGGGAAGAGGCTCCTGGAGCTCTCGAGATGTCCCAGAGGGATGTAGGCAAAGAAATCCCAGCCTCTGGCTGGAAACCTGCCCTTTCTGAGGGTGCTCCTCACCTTCCTCCTCCTCTCCTGCTCCTGCTCCTTCAGGGCCTCCAGAACCGTCCGAGCCTTTTCAAAGGGAGGGATCTTCAACCTGAGAGAGCCACAGAATCCCAGACTGGTTTGGGTTGAAGGGACCTTAAGTTCCAACCATTGCCACAGGCAGGGACCCCTTCCACTGGAGCAGCTTGCTCCAAGCCCCTGTGTCCAACCTGGCCTTGAACACTGCCAGGGATGGGGCAGCCACAGCTTCTCTGGGCACCCTGTGCCAGCGCCTCAGCACCCTCACAGGGAAGAGCTTCTGCCTAAGAGCTCAGCTCAGTCTCCCCTCGGGCAGGTTCAAGCCATTCCCCTTGTCCAAAGTCCCTCTCCAAAGGTCCTCAGCCCTCAGTTCTGGCACTTGCCCCTGTCTACCAGGTGAGAAGCCACCATTAAAACTCTGGCAAACTCCTGCTGCCGAAGCCTCTCCCCCCATCTTACCTGTACAGGATCTCAGCACGGAGATAATTCCCAATTCCATTGAAAAACTTCTGGTTTAAGAGGGCCTCACAGATGGGCTTGTCAAAAGCTTTGTCCTCCAGGTTCTTCAGCACGTTCTCCCTGCGGGGGAGCGCATCAGGACGCTCACCTCAGCTGAAGCCGAGCTGGGGGCTCTCCCCGTGCCTGCTGGATGCTCACCTGAAGGCCTGGTACTCGGAGAGGACGCAGGGCCCGCGGCCCTCCTGCCAGGCGTCCCCCAGACGCCACGACCCGAAGCGGCGGGCATCGATGAAGCAGAGGACGCGCGGGGGGCTGTCGCGGGTGCGGAACCGGAGGTGAGCATGGCGCGGGAGCTGGGCGGCGGGGCACAGCCGGAACGAGCCCGACATGCCGAAGCGGAAAACCAGCTCCTGGGGGGCACCGGCGGAGCCCAGCGGGGTCAGCGTCAGGCGCAGCTCCTTGCCCCGGGCGGTGGCAGAGATGCGGTAAGCCTCGCTGCTGAACGGCACCTCCGGGCCCCTGCCCACCGCCGAGCGCTCCACGCCGCCCGAGAACACCAGCGCGCCGCACGCCTCGTTGATGTAGCGCCCGGCCAGGTGCAGCTCCGGGCACTCGGGCATGGCCGCAGGACCGGACGCACCGGAGAGACCGGACCCAGCGAGACACAGGGACCGGACGCACCGGCCGAAAGCACTGCCCCTGGGGACACACCCCCAACTATGCCCCGCCCCTCGCTCCCCATTGGCTGCACGGCCCGCGGTGCACGCCGGAAGTTGTAGTCCAAGCTTGCAGCCCATGCAACGGGCCGCGGTGCATGTCGGGAGTTGTAGTCCACCGGAGGAGCAGTCACACCAAGGCGCGTCTATCATAGACACCTTTATTGGAGCTGGCTCCGAGCGCACCGGGACCTCTCGCCCGGCTCAGCTCAGCGTGTTCATCAGCGCCTGCGCCTGCTTCAGCTCTGCGGAGACACGGAGCAGGCCGTGGGGGAGCCGCTCCGGCACCGCGGTGTCCCCCACCCCTGCTGCCACCTCCCCTCCTGCGGCCTCACCTGCCAGCAGCACCCGGAACTTGTCGGCCGACACCGCCATGGGCACAGCCTCTGTGCTCCCGCGCTGCCCATCCCGCACGGTGAACGTCAAGTGCACGAGGGGCTCATGGACCTCCTGCAGCTCGCTGGAGCTGAGGGTGTAATCCACACGCCAGCACACCGAGCCCAGCCGGCTCACTGCGGCAGGCAACGGGGCAGCATCACACACACACACCCCGATCCCAAACAGCCCATCCCTGATCCCAAACACCCCACCCTGAAACCCAACACCCCCACTGTGTGACCCAAGCCATGCCACTCAAGACCCAAACCCCCCTGACCCCAGAGAACAAAGACCCTCCCCGAGACCCAGTACATCCCCTTGAGACCATGGCCACACTCACATCTCAGACTGGCAGCCCTCAGGCTGTCCTGGAGGGAGCTCTGCTTCTCCTCGTAGGACCGGCACAGCCCGCTGGCGTGTTCTGCCAGGGCACAACAAAACTGTCCGATGGCACCGACCCGACCACGGTGACACCCCCAGGGTCGCCCCTACCTTTGGGCAGCCCCAGCTGCTGCAGCTCACTGGACAGGGACTCGCTGTCCACACCGTGCTTGGCAGCACTGGAGAGGATGAAGCCGAGGACAGCGATGGTGGCCTTCACATCCCCCGACTCTGCATGGGGAAGGGTCAGCTCTGCAGCCCCAGCCACACCACTGCCAGTCCCTAGGGATGGAGCTGCGGTAGGGTCCAGGGCAGCAGTGCTCACCTAACTTGGCATCTGAGGTCAGCTTCAGGATCTTCTCATACTGTGGGAGAGCAGCATGTGAGGCTATCGTAGTGAGCACGAGGTACTGCACAGCACCACAGCCAACACCAGCAATCATACAATCACAGACTGGTTTGGTTGGAAAGGACCTTAAGGCTCATCCAGTTCCAACTAGAATGGATGTACCCATCCACTAGAATGGATGGGTACCTCAGGAATACGATTCTATATGCTAGTGGAATGCTCATCTTAGTATTACTACTCACTACCCAAGTCACTACTGGTAGTACTGGCCGGCAGCACCCGCCGCGGAGGTGCCGTTTGGAGCAAGCAGACCAGCGGTGTCTCCCCGTCACTCACCTCCATGCTCCCGCCCAGCAGGTCCCGCAGCACTTGGGCACAGATCAGCTTCAGCTTCACCGAGGACTGCGGGAGGAGGAAGAGAAGGACAAGGGGGGGGGTGAGAAGCGGGCTCGGCGGGACGGGAGCGGGCAGAGTCCGGGGGGAGCGGGCACTTAACGATTTTGGCCAGGGTGCTGATCTCGGCCAGGACCCAGTCCGGGCAGTCCAGGTCCCCGCAGAACCGGAACCGCTACGGAAGGGAAGTGCAGTCAGAGCCCGCCGCGGGCTCACCGCGCCCCACACCTCCCCTCGGCCCCCAGCCCCACCATATCGTCGGTACCACCGCGGATCCCGCCTCCGCGACCCGGAACCGCTCCCGCGGAGGAGGAAAGCAACGCGCTCGGCCCGCCCCTCCCCGAGTGCTGCGGGGAGGAGCCGAAGCGGCCGCCCCAAACCCGGGTGAGGGGCGTTAGGGAGCGTGGCCGGGGTGGCCCTGTAGCTCCACAGCACCGGTACAGCCCCTTCCCCACGGGGTACCGTGGGTTAAAGGGGTAAGGAAATGTGTCCCTGGTGGGGCTGGGGTGAGGGAATTGGGTGCTGAGTGCTGCCCGTCAACCCAGCAGGCTCAGCACCCATGGCTGGGGGCTGTCAGTAATGGCAAGAAGAAGCGTTGGGGTTTTGCCACCCAAAAGCGTGCTTTTCCCAGCCTCTGGAGGCAGGAAGCAGCGCTACATACAGACACTCGCTGCCAGGAGCAGCTTCAGGACCTCTTCTCTAGTCACAGGTCAGCCAGTGCTGTGGGTCTCCACAGCAGGCACGGGGCAGAGCTGACCACAAGCAACTCTGGGCGTGCTCGGCCCATGGGAGGGATGCTCCGGGGCTGTGCTGAGCTCCCCGCTCCTCTCCAAGGGGGAGAGCGGCTCCAACTGCGCTTCCCTCTGAGCTGCCGCGCACGGGACCTGCTTCCTGGGGGAAAACTGGCAGCGTCCCCGGAGCAGGGACCTGTTTCTCTATTCCAGCTCCAGCCAAGATCCCAGCCCTGACAGATTTCAGCTCCTTCCCACAAGCTTTCTTTTCCAGCTGCAGAGGTTTCATTCCAGCCCGGCTGTGTCATGTCTTTGCTCCGGCTCTGTATTCCAGCCTCAGACGAGTTCCCAGCCCCGACTGACTTCAGGTCATTCCCACAACCTGTATTCTTAGCCCCATGCTCAATTATTCAGCTCCAGCTCTGCCTCAGGTCAGCTCCATCCCCACCGCATCCAGTTCATCCCGAGCCGTTATCCTGGCTCCAGCCCCGCGGCTGCCTCCGCCCGGCCCCGGCAGCGCTGGGCTTTTTGCAAGGTGGGAAACCTAGAGCTCGGTTGCTGTGCCTTAGCTGGGGCTGGGGCTGCCGCGCCTGGCCCCGCCCCTTACCCCGGCCGGTCCCCGGTGCCGCGGCTCAGTTCCAAGCACACCCCTCAATCCCCGCTCAGGGCTGAAACCGCCCCCCGGTGCCACCGCCCGGCTCAGGGGAAACGACGGAGCACGGGTACGCCTGAGCACACAGATGGCTCCGTACGCACCGTGCAAGGTGTCAACACACAGCTCAACAGCATCAGCTTTATTATTGACCCTGCCCTGTACAGCGCTCCCTACCCCAGACCGCCATGCCCCCGAACCGCTTCCAGTGCCGCCTTGGACGCTACCCGCGGAAAGAGAGCTGACCCGTGCATACACAGCAGGCAGAGGCACCGGCACCCCGCTGCGCCGCACCCAACAGTTGCTCCCTTTCAGCGCTCCCCTTTTATAGCCTCCGCCCCCATCCCGCCTTCCCCTACCCAGCCAATCACGCCCCGCTCCTTCCCCCCCCGCCCGCTTCAGACCCTCCCGTCTCCGTTCCTACCAATCCTGGTCCGTCTCTTCAATCCGGCTCCGCCCCCTCTCCGTTTCTCCCAGTGCCGGCCCGCCCCTTCAATTCGGCTTCCCCACTCCCGGTCCCACCGCACATCCGCGGAGCCTCAGGGGTCGCGTCCCGCAGGACCCACAGTGGGTGCTGAGTTCCGGGGAGGACGACCGGGCGCTCCACAGAGAGGCCGCTCCGGGTGCCGCTTCAAACCCCCAGACCCGGGGAGCGCCGGAGGAAAGGGGCGGGGCGGAATTGAGCGAAACAGAGGGAAGAGCGAGCCGGATTGAAGAGGCGGGCCGGGGTTGGGCGAAACAGAGAGGGGGCGGGGCCGGATTGAAAGGGCGGGCCGGGATTGGGCGAAACAGAGGGAAGAGCGAGCCGGATTGAAGAGGCGGGCCGGGGTTGGGCGAAACAGAGAGGGGGCGTGGCCGGATTGAAAGGGCGGGCCGGGATTGGGAGGAGCGGGAACGGAAGGGTTTGAAACGGGCGGGGCTTGATGGGTGGAGAGAAGACGGGCGAGGCGGGAAGGGGCGGGGCGTGATTGGCTGGACAGGGCGCCCAGAGGCTATAAAAAGCGAGCGCTGAGGGGCGGTGGCTCGGAGACGGAGGGGCGGAGCAGCGGAGGCGGAGCGGCGGGGCGAGGCGTGCCGGTGAGCGGGAGGAGGCGCAGGGAGTGGGGCGGAGGGACCCCTGCCTCTGCCCGCTGTGTGTAGTCGGGCCGGTGCTCAGTGCCGCGGGTGGTGTGCGAAGCGATGGCGGTTCGGGGGGATCGCGGCCTTGGAGGGGTGGGGGAGGTCAATAATAAAGATAGTGTTGTTGAGCTGTGGTGTGAACGCGGTGTGGACGGAGAAGTTTGCGTGCTGAGGTGGGACGAGGCCGCTCTCCGGCGGGGGTTGCTGTCACCGATCCCCGACTCTCCCCGTCGGTCGGGGGCTGCCGGCGCACTTGATGCGGGACTGGCGGTGCCGAGAGACGGTGTCAGCCCCCGAGCGAGGCCTGAGGGCGGTGCTGGGGGAGGAGCTCGGAGCTAGGCCGCGGCGCCGGGGGTCGGCCGGGCCCGAGTGGAGCAGAGCCAGCTGAGGCGTAGCGGCCGGGCGCTGTTTTCCGGCCTCGCCCGAGGCCCAGCGCTGGCGGTAGCGGGCGTACCCGCGGGACTGGAGCTGGGATATGGGCTCGGGAGGAATTGGATGCGGTGGAGCTGGAGCTCGCCTGAGGCAGAGCCGGTGCTCAATCACTGTATATGGTGTAGGGAATAAAGCTTGTGGGAATGACCTGAAATCACTGAGGCCTGGGATATCCTGGAGCAGGCCTGAAATACAGACCTTGAACCAGATGTGTGCTGAAATGAGAGTGCTGGAGCTGGAGAATAAAGCTTGTGGGAATGAGGTGAAAGCACTGAGGGCTGGGATCTTGGGTGGAGGTGGGATAAGAGGGCTGGTTTGCAATGAATCTGGAGTTGGAAAGTACAGTTTGTGGGAATAAGCTGAAACACTGAGTGTGGGGCTGGAATTAGGTAAGACCCATAGGACTGAGCTGAACAAGAGACACTGGGTTGGGGCTGGGATCTCCTGGAGCCGGGCTACATTAGAGACCTTGCAGCCAGAGCTGA